TTTCTCCCCCATAGGAAACAATGGAGCCCAACTTTGGACAGCTCCATTGTTTCCTATGGGGGAGAAATAAATTCACAAAAAATTAACGAAGACTCAGAACAAAGCCAAACTACGTTTGCACACGATTTAGAAGGTGCTCTAATGAACCCAAGCATTTAAAACAGTTGCTGACATTTCGTTAATTTTTTGTGAATTCTTTCCTCCCCCATTGAAATGCATTGAGCCCAACTTTTGACAGCTGTCAAAAGTTGGTTTCAATGCTTTCCTATGGGGGAGAAAGAAATTCACCAAAAATTAACGAAAAGTCAGATCAAAGCCAAATTAAATTTGCACCTGTTTTAGAAGGTGCACTAACAATTCCAAGCATTTAAAACATTTTTGAACATTTTAAGACACTTTTAAAATTGAAAAAACGGACATCGTTAAGCGAAACAGGGGACGTAAAAATGCATTCGCTATGCGAAGCATGGTCCCGAAATCGCTAAGCGAAAATTGCCCATAGGAAACATCGTTAAATGATGCATAGAATTCTTTTAAAAAACCATTGTTAAGCGAAAACATCACTAAACGAGGCAATCGTTAAGCGAGGCACCACTGTAGTTAGTTGGGTTAGGATATCAGACACCCAAGTAAGAAGGCAGTTAAATATACAGCATGCTTACAGTGAGACCTACATTATTAATACTGCCATTTATAAAAATGGTTGCTGGTAACAAAAACACCCAGGAAGTAGGGCGGGCCAATTAACACACATAACTTGGTAAGAAATTAGTATCCCAATTCTAAATTCTGGTCACAGACAGAAATTTTCTGATGAATTTGAATGGTACACTCTTTTGCTGTAACCTCTTTTCTAAGTCTTTTTCCTCTCTAATGGCAAGTTTAATGCCAGAGACACAGCATCCTGAGCAACTGAAGTGCTCTCTTGCCAGTTTCTGAATATTGCCTTTTTTGCTGCCGAATTCGTGTTTGCTTCTTTTTTTGCACAAAGAGTGTTTCTCTGTCTTACTCTAACCAAATGATGCACATCCCTTTCTTCTCCATCATCCTTGAATCCTAGTGCAGACAGCACAAGTCAGTGATTCTACAAATATCACAGCAAACTGAGGGATCAATGCAGGTTGTAAACTGGAATGAGTGCACCCGGGCTCCAATATTACTGCGCACTTAGAAGAAACTAGAAGCACCTAATTACAGCCCAAGGGCAGTTCTCTCACCAGATGTTCAGACTTCAAACCTCCAAAAAATCATTTTACAAATTGTAAGGGGGAAAATATGGATGCGTCATAAGTAAATCTTTGGTGAACCAAAATGCATTGATCTTTACCTATCCCAGGGAACAGAAGTCTCAAACGATTCACCTATTATATAATAATCCATGCCCAAATCCTATTAAAAAGAACAGAAAAGTTTCTTATTAGTACTTCTAAAATAATGTAGCTGATGACCTGACATTTAGCCTGCTATTATGCATAATGGTGATCCTGCAAAGATTTCAGCATATCCATCTGTGTTCCTGACAAGCTACATTTGTCAAGAGGGTATAGCACAGGGACCACTCTTAGTTGGCTAATTCCTGCCAATTACGCTGAATGGCCATAGAGCTTTTTACCCTTTAGGCATCAAGAGCACAGTTGACTTACGTTGTCAGGTCAAGTCAGTCTTCTGACTAAGAGAAATGATTTGTTTACTATTTCTAATACTCAACGGAAGGATACGGCATTATTTTTACTGGTGAATACCAAATTAATTGCGCTATGAATAACAAGCACATAAATAAAACTACAAAGCAAATACTGCTCATGTAAATATTTTTTTATTTTAGGTCCCTTTCAAAGGTGCTTAATTTAATCATATTTAGTTTTTAAAACCAAAAGACAGAAATGAAATTGCTACAATGTTTTCTTTGAAACGTTTGGCAATTTAACGATTTGAGAAATTACTCCTAAACCACTTAGGCTTGATGACTCACTGTAAATAATTCACAGCTATATTTTTCAAAGATCTGGGAACCTCTATCTTATTAATGTTATGTACTCCAGAAGTTAACACGGCAGGAGCTGTGACAGGATGACAGCATTCATCACAGGATCTATGAATGCAAATACAACATATCACAAATGGCAAACCCTAACTAACCTACCGACCAGCGTGGATCCTCTTAATCCTGGTAGCCCCCCCAAATCTGCTGTGGTTGTGATGGTGGGAGGCTGAGGGGATTTCTGAAACAGGTTTTGGAGTGAAGATGATGGGATAGGAAAATGGGAGACACAACAGAGAACCTGCTTTCATTCAAGGCAGTTCAGTTCTGTTACGAAGGCTTGAAGAGATTTTGGCAGACCCATCTGCAACTATGGTTCCCCCCTCCTCTGACTCTGTATAGATGTAAAAACACCTAGTTAGAGAGGCACACTAACTTTTTCACCCCAGATGCCGTGCTCTGTGAAGGCACACATGTGGGTTAACAAGAATTACCCCATTCACAATTGATACAAACACAGACACAATTTCTATTTGAGGCTCTTAACTAACCATGTGTTCTGATCAGGGAGGGGAAGCCCTGAAACAGTGACACACAGAACTCTGTAAGAAATGTGTAACTTCTGCTGTTTCTGTGCACTTGTAGCAACTAGTTTGAGGCTGAGCAGAACAATCTGTTCTCAGAGGAGATGGATTAGGAGGCAGAAGATGGGCACTATAATCAAGTTCAGGCTCAGGGCAGGCAGCCCTTTCTGTGGGTTCAGGATTTGACCTTATAAGCACTTGTAACTCTCAGCAGCCACAAAGGCTTGCCTTCTTCATTTTCCGAGGTTTCCAGTTCACAAAAAGAATCAAAAGATTTTTGAAAAACGGGGTTTCCAAACCACCGGAATAACACTGCCTACTGAACTGATCTGCACGCATCTGCCTAATCTGATGATCAGACAGTACTGGCTCAGAGCACTGAGGAGCAGCAGCATATATGAGGACAAACCTGGTTTCAGCCTCTCTTCTCTCCTCAAACCAGACTGAATCATTTGTCACGGACCATGTGCAAAATGTAGGCAAAACGGTACAACCATATAGTTTTGACAAAACACACAAGAAAGAAGCAATTTGCATGATTTTTGTCTAGAAAAAAGAGCTTTGAACAGTTGAAACACAAGGCTCTTTCCCCAGACAGGATGAAAGATGTTCCGTTTTGACTTGCTTTATCTCAAACCCATGCTCACACAATACATAGAGAAAAATAAATTATGTGTCTAGGCTTTTTTTTTAAGAAGAGACTCACCCGAAGGTAAGCAATAACAAATGTTAGCATGTACCCTCTCTGTCCATTGTCTTCTCCAGCTGCCAGACCCCTGCAATGTGAGAACAGTAAAATATTATCATTCAAGCTACTCCCACTATCCCAAAATTTACATTTATTACTTCTGTGGACATTCCCAAGTACTGCTTTTCTCTCTCTCTAGAAGTTATATGTTAAAAGTTTGTGAACATGTTTGTTGCACTTCTCCACTCCTATAAAGTATGTGGGTAACTTGCCAAGCAATTTACATTTGCAATCTTTAAGATTTTAGCTGCAGAGACAGGACACACGTTTTTTCATTGGAAAAACCAGTACGGTATGCATCTGCATATCTAACTGTAACAAACATTTTAGCAGTTACGGCAGTTCCTCCTGGTGATTTAAAGCAGAGGCAGGCAAGGTCAGCAAATCCATTTGCCCATATCCCTGAAGATCATGGGAACCAACTTTCTGCTCCCAGGATCTTCAGGGATATGGGCAAATGGACTGCACCTTCCTTCACACATTTAAAGTGCAAACCACTGTTCCTGAAGATTTCCTATTCTTGCTAGATAAAACTTTGGGGGGAGGGGAAGTCTGATGAAGCTGAGCCCACAGGGACGGTCTCAGGGCAAACATAACAACCCCAGAGCTTTGCCAATGCCTGTGTTTGCAGCTTCTGAAACAAATTAATAAGAATAGTCTTCCCAAAACTGTTAGTTCACTTTTTTTCACTAGTAAAGGAGAATATATCAGTCTCCACTGCAGTTCCAAGACAGTGAATATCTACCCACCTGAAACATGGCATGCATACTAACAGAACCCTAGGGATGCGTACTCTGGGTCTGTATGGTTTTTTTTTAAAAAAATGACCATTCATTTATAGCTCAGTAGTTTAGACCTTTGGCTGTGAAGCCAGATGTTGTGCCCCCTTGACAGAGGCTGGGACTCAGTGATCCATTGGGTCCCTTCCAGTTCTGCAGTTCTAAGATGACTTTTTTATAACAACAACAACAACAACAACAACAACAACAACAACTACTACTACTACTACTACTACTACTACTACTACTACTACTACTACTACTACTGTGTGAATCCTGTGGTACTACCACCAACCACTACATGTCAGAGTTCTAAACAAAGAACAAGAAAGCTGTAGTCACGCATGATATAATTAGCTCTTAACAAATACCTCCAGGCGGCATCAAATAAGCCGGAGAATATACTTGGCAGACCCATTGCTTTCTACTGCAGGTTCCCCAAATTATTTTGAAACTGAGGATGAGGGAGATAGTCCTACAGGTAACTGCTAATGGGGTGAAAAAGGTGAACACGAGGCACCTGGGTGAAAGCCCAGCCAGAAGTAGATGGAGGAGGACTTCACAGGAAAAAAGAAAGAGGACTTAGCTTCTTGGGCTTGAGATAAGTGGATGAGTGACAAAAGAGGAAGAGTGCCTAGCTGGGTGTGAGAAAAGGGCACAGGGATTCCTAAACTGTGTGAAGCTGAGGAATTCTGCCAGGAAAAAGTAGTATTAGCCAAAAAGAAATGCTACAATGACAGAACTAAAGATTTTTTACTCTTTGGATGCAAGACCAAGATGTCAACACTGCAGCAGGAAAGAGTGACTCTCTACATTATTTCCATTTACACGCCTTGGTGAAATCCCAAAGAGGCGGGGGGGGGAGGGGGAAGAAAGTACATCCAACTCAGATACCTGATGCCTAGGGGCACATGTGTATGAAAGCAGCATAAGGCTGTTCTGTTTGTTACAGGCTTATTTTCATGCATCAAGTCCCCTCTGCAAGGACTCAAGTGCCAGCTTATGCCAGCTGGGTGACTAGTTTACAGAGGCATTTCAAGTACACTTGGACACAGTGCACCTATGGATCTGGTTTTCTTATGCCTTATGTTTTTATTGGCAGTTTGAGGCAGACATGACTGAAAGCCAGTTGGGCATACAGCCTGATATGGTTATAGCAGGGATAGCAGCTGCCAGCTGTGAAGCACAGAAGAATACCTGGCTGGTTGGCTGTGCTTTTCCCTTTAGTTTCCCTGGCAGAGTGACAAAGAACACGGCCGGAGGTAGCAAGCAGCAGGAGACGGGCCATTAACTGGGACAGGCTGCGCGCCTGGCTTATGGAGTTCCTTTGTTCCTGCGCAAGGAGCCCGGACAGCAAATGATAATGGCTTGTGGTATTTAAGGACAGGAGACAGAAGAAAAAGCGGAAGCAGCAGAGATTTTCCAGTGCGATGGCTCACAGGGATGTAGCAGAATGGTCTCTCCTATGTGAAGTGGCATAGCTGTTATGTAATTGCTAATTAATATTCATAAAACTCCTCCGTTTCAGAAAGGATTATTTCCACCCATCAGTCTGTATTTACAGCTTTTTTGAAATGATATTTTTGTCCTTTAATAAGAGAGCTAAGTGTGAGAGTGAGAAACTGAATACTTTATATATTAATTCAGGTTTAAGAAGGACCTGTAAAGCAGAATCAACATTTACAAAAAGTCTGTGTTTATTAGAAACAACAACAGCAATGATTTGACTAAATATTTTGTTTAAATGGGAAACAACATTGTGACCTGGACAAATCTCTGGACAAATCTCTTCCCCATGGTTTCACTGATCAATCCCATAATCAATCACACTAGACAGACACAAACCACCCAATCATTACTCAGCTTGTTATTAGAATGAAATGTTTTCTGTTTCTTTGTAACCGAATGGGGCAACTGCTGACAGGGGTGGGTTACATGTAATTAATCAAGTTGTGTTGATTAAAGACAGTTTCCTTTTAAAAACAGGCGTGCTCCAGTCAACAGCTCTAGCCAATAAAGCCCAGTATTATACCTTAATCTCATAACAACTGCTTTCCTTCACTGGGTTTGGACTTGTTTGTTCAGTGTCACAAATGTGACTTTCCTGACTCAGAGAGAAAAGAAAAAAAAACTTTAAACTGCCTTTATTTCAGCTGGATTGTAGAAAAGACTACATCCTTGCATTAATGGGTGCAAATTCAAATTACTATGCATGTTGTCTTTTCAATTGTATGGCTAACACAATGGACAATTAAATTCTATAATCCCATTCTCACTTTTCAAAATGATACTATACCGTAGAGAAATGCATGGTACTGCATTCAACAGAAGTGTACTGTATTTCATTTTAACTCCAGAAAGAAGTCAGACTTACAGATATTTTTAGATATAAAAAAATGAAGCTTTCAAAAATCATACCCAAATTTGGCAGCAATATCATAAACTTGCTTCTCATGCTGAAGAACCTTTTCTCTGTCACCTTCAAAGAGCAAAGTAGCAACACATAACTGATTGGGATCAAATCCTTTGAACTGTGGAAAGAAGCACCAGCATTGCATTATTTTTAAAAAATATACAATTAGACACCCTTATTCCACTCAAAGCAACATTTCCATTAAGTTCCAGGTGTTACTTTTAGTAAGTACAGAACAACTCACCTAAGGCAGATTTATGAAGTTTTAGGAAACGTGATAGTAACAACAACAACAAAAAAAACAGCTGCCTAAAATGTACGCCCCACCCCACCCCCGAATGCTCATATCCCATTATGAGAAAGACTACAATTCACCTCCAGATTCAGTTCGTTATTAGGAAGCTTTTCTGTAGGAATCAACACACATTCAGAGTGTTAAAAAAACCCCACCACAGATGATTAAACTGACTGCTTTCTTTGTTTAGTACTTCATCATGAATCTTCATTGTATTGGGATGCTACAAGTCACCCTGCAAAGTTTCCCTCTGGGATGTCCTACACCAGGGGTGTCCAACCTTTCACCTTCCCTGTGCCACATTAGAAAATGAAAATTTGGTTTGGGCCACACATACATTTGGCTTGGGCCGCATGGGGGGCAGCCCTAGCCGTCCTCCGCAGCCCCACTCCAAGCGCGCTTACCGGCAGCTGCGATCTCAGACAGCAGAGGCTGCCAGCTTCGACTCCTGCGGCTTTATGGGGCCGGGAGGGGGTCCACCTATTGATAGGGATGGCGCAATGCAGTCACGCAGTCACGCAGCCCCCCTGTCCCCTCCCCTCCCACTCCTTCCTTCCTTCTCTCCCCCCCCGTCATGACATGCCCTGGCCACATTCCGGCCGCAAGCGCTGGCAGTGTAACTTAAAACTTTAGAATTTCTTTTAAAATAAAAAATTGCACTGGGCCGCATTACGAGCTGACCTGGGCCGCATGCGGCCCTCGGGCCGCGGGTTGGACAAGCCTGGTTTAGTGGACAGAATGCAAAACAAGGACTCATGAGACCTAGGTTCAAATCCACACTGGGTCACAGAACTGCATGAGTGGGTAGCAAGGTAAAAAAACTCTTCGGACATCTCATACCTTAAAAACTATATTAGGATTGCTTTAAATTGGAAATTTACAGCAGTCCTAATGGTACAAAGTAAAAAAAGTGCCTGTTAGCATTAAAGAAAACAAATAATTATTTTAAAAGACAAAAACTATAGACAGTTTAAAACATTTTTCTTAAATGCATGAAACAAAGGAAGAAAAAACTCTGTGTACTATGAAACAACATTTTGATTAGGAGCCTCGGGGTGCAGTGGTTAAAGCGCTGTACTGCAGCTAAAACTGTGCTCACGACCTGGGGTTCAAATCCCAGGTAGCCGGCTCAAGGTTGACTCAGCCTTCCATCCTTCCGAGGTCGGTAAAATGAGTACCCACCTTGCTGGGGGGGCAATGTGTAGCCTGTATAATTAAATTGTAAACCGCCCGGAGAGTGCTTGTAGCACTATGGGGCGGTATATAAGTCCAATCAAATCAATCAACAATCAATCAATCAATCAATCAATCAATCAATATGGCTGTCAATAAAGATGGCTGTATCAGAAAGAAGTCATGCCAGACCAACCTTCTCACTTTTTCTGTCTTAACAGATCATGAGAATACCACAGACACTGTCTATCTTGATTTTAGCAAAGTACTTGCCCAGGTTTCCTATGATATCCTTGTTACTAAAATGTGGGTTGGACCACTGTTAGGTGGATCTAACACTTGTTGAGAACTGTACTAAGAAACACTCTGAATTAACCTGGAAAGTGGGGAAGAAGAGAGAGGACTCTATCCTCAACCCTGTGCTATTCACAAAATTTGTTTTACAAATGAAATGGAGGCATGTTTCAAAATGAAATGGCAAAAGTTTAAGAGAAGTATTACATAGGATATAAGAAAAGGACCATTAAAATTCACTTTTAGAAACTGCAGGAGAATAAAATGTGTAGCTGAGGTACCATAAGCATCCAGCATGCCACATTCTACTTCCACTGAACATTATACATCACTACCATGTAAGTGTTTGGAAAGAATTCAATGGCTGAAATCCTGTTGTGCAGTTACACAAACAACATAAACTTTAGCTGTGAATTGCTGTAAGGTAAGAAATCTGGAAAAGCATTATCTCTTGCATATCAACTAGCATGACTCAGTATGCAACAGATAATGTCTTTAGATTTCTTCATGTCCAGCAATTTGCTTCCAAAAGTTATGCCATTTGCATAACTGTGAAGCACGATTTCACAGTGAAATTAATTTGATTCTGAAATTCTTAAGTCCAAGTGTTTTCCTTCTGTTGCTAAGGCTTAATTGGGAGAATAGTACAAAGAAATAAAATCCATAGTTAGGAGCACTAGGAAGACTTGGTTCCTTTGTCACCATATACAAAGGCGCAGAGTACTCCATCTCAACAGGATTAGGAAGTTTCTAAACTGTAACAATACTTTTCACATCTCTTTCCTGTCTGTTCTGTGCTACAGACATCACATCTGGAAAGTGCTCTTTCCTATCCCTTTACTATATTTTTTCATTTCTCTCCCATGCTTATGCATTCACATCTTAATATCTCCCATGCCAATATAAGTAAACAGACAGGCACTCCAGTTGCACACTTCACATTCTTGCTAAGCTATTATCTGGCACAGGAGAGATGGTGAGGAGATGAGGTTACACCAGTTTTTCTCTACTCTTCTTTTTTACCTCTAATGCAGGGGTGTCAAACACAAGGCCCGACTAACATGTTTAGAATGTGAGTTGGTCAAATGCTGAAACCAAACTTAAATACCTTTGTTATGTAGAATTTTTTCAACCCATCCAGAAGTGATGTAAAAATTGAAGAAACCTGTGGTTTAAGAGCATGTCCTTTAGAGTAAAAGACAGAGAAATATGTAAGATAACAGCAACATTAAAAGCCTTGATTTAAAGCAGGAATAACTGACTAATTTGAGCTTCATTATTAAATGTTCTACGTCTTAGGAAAATACATCACAGTACCTTTTAAAAATTCATATCAGAGCACTGCATCATATTAAATTGTGGAATTTGTAGATGAAATAAAGATAAAACTAAAAACAAATTAATACGTTAAAATAATTAGATTATGATTGACCAGAAACAGGTTACTTCAATAGCATTAACTCAGGAATTATACTATTCCAAGGCATTTAAGGAAACAACAGAGAAAGACATAAATGTGGCAGTACCCATCAAATCTAATACTTTGGGTACATACAGATGTACCTCAAAACAAGAGCCCATACAGTTTTCTTTCCTGCTTAGCTGAGCCTGGTTCTCCAAGACCTCTTCACAGGATGGACAGATGTACCTGCTCCCAATTTTAACACCTCCTTAAGTCTCCAATGCTGTCATTCTGACATGACTATTCCGCATCGTACTGATTGTTTATTTTGGTTTAAAGCCCGAATCAGTCATTTAAAAATGCACTGAATCAACATACAGGAAGGGTGAGGAAGCTAACCCCACTTCCTACTGCCCTCTATGTGTGGAAGGGAACAGATTCCTTTATTGATGGGGCTTTTCACATAAATGAGAACTCTGGAAGAAGTACAGTAGGTTCTCATTCCCATGGAAAGCCTCCAAGGAGGAGCAGACCACCTCAGGTTCAGACTCAGTACTATCTGAAGTGTGGTGCAACTAGTGCTGGAGGAGAGGCAGCTAGTTCACTCTCTCTACCTTACGTGTTGACTCAAACATGCTTCTTAATTCACAAGGGTTATTTACCACTTCTGTGTTGATCATCTGAGTCTAGATCAGGTAGGCCTTTAAAAAAATCACCCCTCTATGTTTTTAAAAGCCGAGACATGGCTTCGGAGTGGGGGTGGTGTTTATTCTGTTGATCTCTCCAACAGAAGTGTGAATATCCAGCTTTTGCTGTAATGTACCAGAACTGGTCTTTCCCATGCTCAACTGTAGAATGAAAATACCGTGTCCGGCTAAAGTACTTATACCTGTTTTTCAGAAAGTCTATATAAACCACTTGTTAATCATGGATGTAAATACACACACATCCATTAAAACTCATCCAGTAACTGACTCATTTTTGGATATTTTTAATGACTACAATTTATAGTTAAAGGTACAGTTTGATCACAATTTGTCATTCCTTTGCAGAAAGTTTTATGCGTAATAAAACATGCATGAGAAGAACCTCAGTGCATTTATTTTGAACTTGTTAATATTTTGTCCTGTATGTAACAAAAAGGTAGAGCACTTTGCTTTTTCCATATGTTTCAGTTATTTTAGTCTAACAACCATCATGTTTACTTATTTAACAGTCTTATCCCTTGGCTCAAAGTCTCTCAGAGTAACCATGCTGGGATTTTTAGCTCATTACAGTTTGCATTTATTTAGCTTTTGCTGACAGGATCGAATGGAACAGGGTGAATAGTTATCTCCCAAAGCTCCCTATTACTCTACCCAAAAGCCACTTGATATGGATGGAAACACACCTTTTTCTGCTGCTCTCACCTCCTATTGTGAATACAATGCAAGAACTGTAAATAAATGGAGAACAATACAGTTCTTAAACCTCAAACTTCAGCAAAAAGTGTATTTCTTCAGTCTATTTTGTCTACCCCAAATGATTCTAGATTTGCTATTGTGAGCCACCTTGGGTCCCCCTATCAGGAGAAAGGTGACCTATAAATAAAATGAACAAATGAATAAAAGAATGAACAGAAATAATTCATAATTAATGAATATCTTATCATAGAAATCATTAATTATTTGAACAAACTTCTGAAGGACTAAGTATTCCAGAATAAGTGAAGTCATATATTTCACAACAGTGAATTCCTGTGAATTAATAGTGTACATCTGGTCTTCTGGCAAATAGCCAGACATATTATCTCACTACTAAACTGCAATTTGCTACCGTGACAATACAATTTCATTTGTTCTGGAGTAAAATCTCAATAGAATTCTGATCATTACTGCTACCCTTTATTATAAGGTTTAGTTTTTGGAAAGTTTAAAAATTATGTTATGTCATGTTGTCGTTTTATGTTATGTGCCATCAGGTCAGAACTGAATTAGAAGCAAGCCCAATAGAACTTCCAAGGTAACTGAGAAATTTAAGGGATGGCTTTACCAGTAACAAACCACCACCAACTATGAGTTTCTATGTTTGTGTGTGGATTCAAACCCACTTTTCCTGAGTCCTAGTCCATCATTCTATTCAAATCTGTGTAGCTACAACCTCTTATGGGTATCCACAAGGGATTGTGGCTACACAAATTTGGACAGAAATAAACCAATAGGGTTAACAGTAAAGAACACTGGCTCTCTCTATTATACATTTGTGAGATTTTTAAAATGCTTCTGAGAGATGGTTAGCAATTTCTGAAGATCCAAGGACCATTTTCTTTCCTTCCTAGACATTAGAAAGCTGCACCTACAACCTTTGGGAAGACAATTGGATCCCAAAATGGCAAGCTATACCCCTAAGGATCTATTTTAGGTCCTTTTCGGAACAGGGTTTTCTTTTTTAAAGTGACTTTCCCCTAACCCCACTCCCCAAAATAGGCCCAGGGATGAAATTACATATGAATAGCAAATCAACCCCCTGAGGTTTCTGAGGCCTACAATTTTGGAATGGAATGTATTCTCAGGTGGCGGTGGGGGGGAAATAGTGTATGGATTCTAGGGTGTTTCACTAGGGTATAGATGGCTCACAGGCCATACATTTCACTAGGGACGGTATAGATGGCTCACAGGCCATCCATTGCCTAGCTCCACAGATAAAACCAGACAATTCGCGCCAGGCAGAGCAATCTGTGACCATTAACCGTGTGTGTGTGTGTGTGTGTGTGTGTGTGTGTGTGTGTGTGTGTGTGTGTGTGTGTGTGTGTGTGTGTGTGCGTGTGTGCGCGCGCGCGCGCGCAATCTGTGACCATTAAGCGTGTGTCTCTGTGTGTGTGTGTGTGTGTGTGTCTCTCTCTCTCTGTGTGATATATCTGCTGACTGACTCACAGTCCTCTTCACTCCCCTTCTGTTTTTCTGTGGCCAGGATGGAAGCAGGTTTTTATATCACTCTGCCTACTGATTACAGTGGGAGGGATTTAACTAACCCAACCTCAGGGCTAGCACAGGGTCTCACTAGTTCTCCGGGCGCATCAGGAAGGGAATGTAGGACTCATTGTGGCTGTGGCCACCTCCTGATTGCCCTGTGACTATGGTAGGCCAGCCATCAGAACTTTCTGAAAATATGCTAGATAACTTCCAGCTGTGTATATCTCACCCTAGACATGGGTGTTCTTCACTAGCAGCAGACAGACAAAGTTAAGATTGCATGATTAAACTGCATTAATATTTAATAATCTTTTTTTACCACAATGTTTTGCCTGAATAAGATCTCTTCCATTATTTGGTCAAAAGGTTTTTACATCATTAATGTGACACAAAAATGATTCAGTGTTACAATTCTGATCTTCTTAGATAGTTTTAACTGCATTTGAATGGTAGGAAAATCATTTACAGCCCATAGGGGGAGAGGGAGATAAAATATTTATCTTTTGTGATATCTGCACCAGATGTCAATGAAAAAAAAGGCACAAAAGAAAGCATGGCACAAGCTTCTGCATAAGTTTACAAAACTACTTCTGAGTAAAACAGTAAAAACTTACCAAACTGAAACTGTTCATTGTCCATAAGCCGAATAGATGCAGGCGCGCATCGCTACGAACAAACAACATACTTTTGAATACAGAATAATATCAATAGAAATAGCAGTACTTGAAAAATGTATGAGTTAAATACCGAACTTTTATGAAGGGGTTCAAACCCTACAGTGAAAAAAGCATAGTGGAAAAAGGCATATTCAATAAATCCTCTATCCAGGAGCCAAGATTAATGTGATTTGCATAATGTACATTATATTAGGTAAACATTGGGCCTTTAACAATGTACTAAAATGTATATGCTGTATAGGCTGAAGATAATTTAGACACACTAGATTACTAATGTTAGGCAACATTACTGAAACTATGCTGAGCAGGAAGTATATGTTCAAATTTAATGAGGAAAAGATTTGTACAACTCAGCTTTTGCTTATCTCTTTCTCCTCTCACACATCTCAACCCAGGAGACTTGTCTCAATCACTACACACCCTTCCTGTTTCTAATTCTGCTCAGTCAACTGAAATGTGTGTGTGTGTGGGGGGGGGAATTGAGCAATGTTCTGCCCTAAGGGGTAATAGATACACTTCTTCAACATAGTAAATAGAATAGTGCATTGCACTAATGTGGTAGTATATAAATGCATGCATGCATACATACATACTCTCACAAACGTGCTCCTCCCTAGGGCCGCAGCAGCTCTTTGTGTGTCACCTGAACACACTATTTATGTCAGTGGAGGCTGAAGAGGGGAAGGATGCTTCTTCTCCACAGCCCCTTGTGTACTAAAACCTGCTCCTGTGGATCTAGGAAATCTGGAGCCAGTGTTCAGGGGTCACAGAATGCTGCTGCAGAGAGGGGAGGGTAAGAAAGATTTACAACCAAATATACCCCAAAAAAGGAACAACTCCCCCCATGCAACTAATATAAAAAAAAACAAAATACATAACAACTTAACATAAATCCATTTAGTCAGTACAATTAAGCAAAATGTGCTCCACCCCACCAGGACCATTTGGAGATACAGTGGTGCCCCGTATAGCGAGGTTAATCCGTTCCGGATTAACCCTCGCTATACGGAATCATCGCTAAATGGGTAGGGGAAAGGTATTGGAACGCATTAAACTTAGTTTAATGCGTTCCAATACCTTCGTTACTTACCCATTCAGCGAGGATTCCAGGTGCCGGCAGCCATTTTCGCGCCTTCGCTAAGCGAGGGCAGGGCGCGAAAACAGCTTCCGGCAGCCATTTCCAATGCGGGTTTTCCCCATTGCGAAGATCGGGTATGTTTCCGTATAGCGATCCCGAAAAAGGGATCGCTATACGGAAACATCGCTATACGGTGCACTCGTTAAGCGAGGCACCACTGTATAGCCAATTTTCCCCCCTTATGGAGCCCCCTTCCAAAACTGCACGAATTCTTGCAAAGGTGTGGAACCTTTCCTCCTTATTAATACATAGTCAATAAATTATCCCCAGATATCTGTAAAGATAATATTATTTGATAAACCCTTCATAGCTTTAATATTAGATATCAGCTTATCATTAATGGCTATATGCCAAATTTCCTTATACCACTGATTTAATTGAAAATAATATTTTACTTTCCCGTTCTTTGCTATTAATTAAGCCACTGTTAATAAATTTGAAAGTAATTCTTTCATAGTCCAGTTCCATTGCTCCTTATCAAATATCAATAAAAGTGTTATTTTATGACATGGCTCTGTAACTTAATTATTAACCTCCTTAAAAGACTAAATGACAAAATTTTATTTCCACATTCCCACCACATATGAAAATAAGTACCAACTTTTGACAACCTCTCCAACACATCTTAGGATAATTAGTATAAAATATTAGCATTTGTTTCAATTTAATCAGCATTAAATACTATAACCGAAATAGTTTATTAAAAAATTCCTTTATTCTTGCAGACACAGATGTCAATATTCTTATATCAAGGGGAAGAATTTCTATGACATATCATATTTTTTCCTGCAGCCTTTATTTGAACTTATAAGTGGCTTTGAACATGTTTATGAGTGATCTGGTGAGAAAGGCCAGATTAGTCATAAACATGTCTAAACTTGATTATGGGTTCAAACATAGGTTGCAGAGAAAATGTGAACGGTCATAGAAAATCTCCCCCTATGTTGCATCCTATATCCCATATCATTACCTTGGTAATGTTTTCCTCTCCCAAATCCCCAAATCATATTCTCACAATGATTTAAGAAGATCTTGTTGATCTTCAGCCTTTAATAATATTTTATACATTTTGCCCTTTCACTATCATATATTCATCTATTTTTTCTTCTGTAATACCATTTCTTCAAATATCTTAACCTCTCTACATTGACCATTTCTTTTAACCCAGTAGTTAAGCCACTGCTCCAACTGAATAAGATTAAACCTAAATATTCTCTCCATGTCTAACATCTCTTTAATTTGTTCTTTATTCCCCATCTTTTTCATCTAATCTTTTATCCTAATAACTTGTTTCATCCTTAAAACTTCCTCTAAATGCCACTTCAGATTGTCTGGAAACTCCTCCAAGCTCCTCATTTTTTTATTATGAATGTGGCTCAACTGCTCAACTTTGTTTCTTGATCTGTCTTTTTTTAGTGTGGCCGTAACAGTTTTTGACATATAAACCATATATGGGGAAATGTTGGATAGAGTAGGTTTTACGGCTTGCTACATCCCACAGGCAGATACTTACTAGAGCCTAGAGAGGACTGCACTATATGTATTACCATGAACCAACTAGGCTTTGAAACATCTCATACTTTTAAAAAGACTGAATTATGTGCTATCTTGACACAGGATGTCTTCAGCCAAACAGCAGTTTCTTAAGACAAGTAATCGTCATTGCATTTTTGCAATGGAGTGGTTAAAAACATCAATATTTGAATATAATCATGATGACATCTAGCTCTAACCAGACTTGAATGTATTCAAACATACTAAAGTATCAACTGTTTTGTAACTACAACAGAAAAGACCTCTGTATCAAGATAGAAACCCTTTGAAATGTAAAATAAAACTGTTTATTTAATCCTCCAGCCTCAATGCCTATTTAAGCACTCTGTCTTTGAACTGAAACACATTTGTCACCTTAAAAAGAGCTAAACAGAGATTAGTATGCCACCTAGCGAAAGTATTCTGGTAGTGCTGCTTTTTAAATGTGTATTTAAACACAACTTTAAGATAAGGTTACTTTACCTGCTTTGCTATTTCTCTTAAGCAGGCCACCCCTTTCTCGAAGTTTGGAAATACTACAGAGCCATACTTTTGATATTCAGGGATTGGTCGGATTTTTATAGTAACTTCTGTTACCACTCCCAGGGTTCCTTTATGAAAAGAGGAAAACAATGATTTTGCTATTGTAATTGAAAATCTACAAAAATTCATGGTTTAACAGGCAAAGGCTAGAGTATTATTACTTCCCATCTACCTAAATACATTTTTATTTAATATTTTTAAATGAATTTCAAACACTATACAGTAGTTAAATCAATCTTTTAAATGTTTCCTATTCTAAAAATGATAGTGTCAATTTAATGGGGGATTGCTCAAATTGAGAACAGATTTCTAACTGTAGAAATATCAAGTTCAAAAGATCAAATACTGGAATTACTTTAATCATCTATAATACAGTGGCAATGACAGATCTTTTAGAACAACAGAATACGATATTAAAGCTTTTGTTTAAATGCCCATTGAAGAGAAATTTGTAACCAAAAGTCAACATGAGGAACGTGACTGTCAAAGCAATCAGTATGTTCTGTGTTTTCTCAAAATATGCTGCCATAAGACCAATATGAATCCAACTGGTTTGCACAGTTCAGTACTGTATATGCTTTCTAGAGGCCCTAGTTTTAGAATGAATAAAGCAACACAGATCTGGGAAACATGACTATGAATATTCTGCTGTAGTTTAGTATGGAGAAGATGAGGCTTGTGACAAGAAGAATCCGAGATTATCTTTCCAAGGGTGATCAAAAGCCATGGTTTGTGCTGATAAGATACCTGATGGGAACTGATCATTTACAACCACTTGTTCACTTCTGGAAAACACTACATTCAAAATGCAAAACATTAACCCTAGTTTGATTCTTATATGCTGAAATAGCTTGGTTTGTAAACTACAGTTAGCACAATCCACGGATGGAATCACCATACAATCATTTTTGACAGAAGCACTGTATAATCCAGTCTCCCAGAATTTTGTTGTTCCTGTCTAGGAATATCAAAGATGTAAGGATTTTTTTGTAGTCGGCTTTCTTTGACATGATAATATTTTGTCTGCATCATATCTTTTGTCCTTTACTCCAAATGGAAACTTTAAATATGCCTGTTTTATGACCATAAATTTAATTCTCAACACTTCACTACTGAGATGTTTGCATATACAAGTACTTGTAATGACACTATCTCCTCTCAGCCTCAACTCAGAATTTCTATACTCGAGTCTTTGCAATTCAGTATTTATCTGGATATCTGCTGCAAGTAATAATCTCCTTCAAGAGATCAGGCATATGTGTACATACACATACACAAACACACTTCTATGTAGATGCAGACAAGAAACTGCAATTGCTGTTTGAATTTTTAAAATGATGAAAGACATCTGGGACTATTCCTTTGCTTTCCTCCATGCCACAACCATCAACACTTCTCTGGAAGGTACAGTGAGGCAACGCAGGAGAAGGAAGAGGAAAAATTGTTCTTCCGTCAGGGACGAATAGGCCACTGTTGGACAGGCATCATTTAGTACAATTGTGTTTGCTTGACAGGCTGTTAGAAAGCAGATAAAGAACTCTATGTACTGTCTCCGTTACAATAATAGCTATGTGCAATTCTTTCTCATTCTTCTTTTGAGTCACAGAACCACAGCCCCAAAGCAAGAGGGAAAAAGATCTAAGCCTGAAGCTTTGAAGAATTGCTTTACAATAACAGTGGTAGCATTAAGAAACCTGTTACGTGTGTCTGGCTTCTGATTTAAGCATATGATTTTGCAGTCATAAGATCGAATCCATGCGACGGAGTGAGCTCCCGTCACTAGTCCCAGCTCCTGCCAAACTAGCAGTTCGAAAACATGTAAATGTGAGTAGAAAAATAGGTACCACCTCGGTGGGAAGGTAACGGTGTTCTGTGTCTAGTCGCGCTGGTCACATGACCACGGAAAATTGTCTATGGACAAACGATGGCTCTATGGCTTGGAAACGGAGATGAGCACTGCACCCTAGAATTGGACACGACTTGACTAAATGTCAAGGGGAACCTTTACCTTTACCTCCAGAGTAGAAGACAGACACAGCCTCTATACCAGGTGTCCCCAACCTCTTTAATCCCATGGACTGGCTGGGGAAGGTGGGGCACGCTCACGGGCATGCGCAAAGGATTGTGTGTGCTCTCACACAGGTGCACATGCAAAGGAGCAGGATGGTGGGTGTGAAGGTGCTCAGGTGCATGCACAAACGGTGGTGCAGTGCTCGTGTGCATGTACAAAAGGGTGGGGGAGCAATTGTGTGGGTGCTGGTGCACACACGCATACACAAAGGGCTGTGCAGGGGGGCGTGCATGCAGGGCGGTGGGAGGTCTGTCTCCGCAGCCCGGTCCGGCTCAGGCCATGGACTGGTACCGCACTGCGGACTGGGGGCTGGGGACTTCTGCTCTATACAGCTGTCCTGAATATAAGAAGTGCTGTCAATGCTTGTGGGAGACAAAACTTTTTCCTTTTTTTTCAAGTTCACATGTATCTGGGAAGGACCCATGGCAAAGGAGATGACAAGGCAGCTACAGCAGAAGAAATGAAGATGCAGACAGCACATAACCACCACCTGCTGAGCAATTATTTATATGGCTGCCATACACACAGAATCTATTTTAGTGCTCCAACCTCGGACTGGAGCTAAAAACATGCTTTCAAAAACAAAAAGAATCCGTACATGGAAGAGACCCAGATTCACTGAAGGACTGGGCAGAAACACTTTGTATGTATATACTGCACTAATGGGGCAGTATAAATTTAAGAAATAAATTTATCCTCATTCTGGACTTTCATCTTCATGCTGCTGCAGAAGATTGTTTGACCCTCCAAATAAACAGCTTTTCTAGAGCCACCGAGGGAAGAAAATACTGGCAACAATCACTTCACCCAGACCCTCCAATGCAAGCACAGCTTTCTCAACCTCAGATATACCCAAACCCAGTTGTCTTTTCAACAATTAAATGCAATTAAAAGCTATTCCATCATTACACGGTCAAAAAAACATGCACAAGGTTACAGCTTTCTGCCCATAGGGCATGCTTTGACACACTTACAGGACTCATAAATGCCAGCATGAAAAGTTTAAAAAATCCATGGGAGGTTACAGTAATTTTTATTTATCAATATTTTACTTATCAATGTTGGAGTGACTGGGATGCTTTGGAACATGAAAATAAGTGAAGAAGTCTGAAAAGGAGCAATGGGATGGATTTAAAGTGTAATTTCTAGAGATCGAATAATCCACATTACTATAATCTCCAATACAATGCCACAATACACGTTTATGCATTGTGTTCAATGAAGCTTATTCACTAGTAAGGATGTTTAGCACTGCAGGATACTATACCTTAGAATTAGATTTAAGAGGCATCACCAATCTAATACTGCCCCAAGAAAATGTTATCAGTCTCTTTCTAGCTATTATAGCACACTAAACAGGTCTACAATTCACTGAGGTGCATGATAATCACATGATAGTCAGTTGCAGTTAAAAAAAACAATTCCGGAACCCAAACATTTAAGTAAATAATGTGTCCTCGACACAGTGTCTTAAAGACTCAAATGCAAACACTGGAATTCTATTGTTCATGATACCTTCAGATCCTAAAATGAAATGATGGATGTCAGGTCCTGTTGACATGCGCGGTCCTTGACAGTTCTTTTGTATTACACCTCTTGGAGTTACCATTTTAATATGAACCACCTGAACAAAACAGAATATTCACTTTAAGTGACACGTTAAAGAGAATAGAAAGAAAGAAAGAAAGAAAGAAAGAAAGAAAGAAAGAAAGAAAGAAAGAAAGAAAGAAAGAAAGAAAGAAAGAAAGAAAGAAAGAAAGAGGCACATAGATCGAATTCCCAGAACATCTTCAGTATAGAGTGAAATTTTCCCTGATTGCTATAAAAAGGTAATCCACTCTGAAAGAAGGCAACAACATAGTGATACGGCAAATGCTCTGGGAGTTCAGAAGAGTACCAAGAAATCATTATGCTGTCCCTGTCATATCTTCCCTTCAAACCCAAGGAGAGGTGCATCCATAAATTATTTTTCTTTAACATGTAGGTCCAATTGTGTCTTTAAAAAGGTTGGTTTAATTTAACATTTAATACTCAAGGACTAGAAAGAAATCAAAATAAAGAGGTTTACCAGGTCTTCAATGTTTCCATAAATGTTTTTCTTCATGCCTGATGCTCGGGTTGCCACCCATCCTCCGAGAGTGCTGAACTCCATGGAATCTGGTTCGTGGCCTGTACAGTACCCACTTTCTCCCAGCTAAACCCAGAAAATAACAATCAATTTTCCAAAGGAAGATATCCATCGGCACAGAATTCAACTTTATGGAAGCACAATTTTCTAAAGAACGCAGGAAAAATAGTGTTTTGGGCCAATACAACGACATTTGCTTCAGACAAGCTTTGATGAACAAAGTTTTACCTAAATGACAATAAACCGTATTTTTTTGCTACCAAGTTCTCTGCACTTAATCACTGCCTACTACAAAGAGGTATACTGTACAGATTCACCTTTAAAGCAATTTCTGCTATTACTACAACACTTTTGACACCAACACTATTGCAAGCTTTGGGAAAAAAAATTTTATCCATGTTATACTACATCCATTACTCTGTACACAGGAAAACGCAGCATGTAAGAAAATAAAAAATACCAGGATTATAGTGTAGACTCAGTTCTTATACATCTGTAACACATGGCCTGTATACCACTACTCTGTATTTTAACAGCTTACTAACTTTAAAGACCATTCCATAGACCATAATACTACAACAAAACAGTTTTATTAAAAAAAAACAATAAAAGAAGCACTTATTTCTGATTCTGCTAACATGATTTGCAGCTGGTCTGAAGAAATCCTGAACTGATTATACCTGATTTTCTCAAGAAGAGTTCCCTTAATATACAACCATCTGGCTGGGAATTCTCTAAACAGTAATGGTGAATTTGTAACGCAGAACATAAATTTTTATACATTTGTCACTGGTTTCATCTTTCTTTATTAGTTTGATTTTGCCATATGCACTGCTACAGAGAAAGGGAATGAAACGCCTTTACACATTGACCCCACAGGTATCCTGGTGAAATGACTTGACAAAGAAAAGAAATCTCTCTTGATATTCTTTCGTATATCAAGCAGCTGAATTCTAAGCTACCTGAAAGCACATTTGGTGCTGAGAAACATTTGGAAAATGAGATGTGCAATAATGCTAAGGAAGGGAGCAATTTCTAACAGATCTTAAATACCAGTGCAAGTCTGATTGGCTGTATTACATACTAGAAAACAGTCAATGGTTTTGACCTTCCATTAATGTTGGAGTCATGATTACTCGATATTAAAGATATAACAATCTCTAATGGTAACAAATCTTGGTACATTTATGATGCAGAAAATATTGTGCTGTTTGAAGATAGAGTACAAGACTACTAACAATGAAGAGGTTATGAAGACAAGCAGCTAACAAACTGAGGCTTGTGTACACAGACTTCCCTTCCCTTTACTAACAGTACAGTGGACCCTTGACTTACAGACGGCTTGACTTACAGACTTTTTGAGTTACAGACTTCTCTGGCCGCAAAATTTAGGTTTGACTTGCAGACTGAGATTTGACTTACAGACCAGAAAAAAACCAAAATGGAACAAAAACAGCCTGTTACGGGATTAATTGCCTTCTAATACGGATTAAGTTCTCAAGTCAAGACCCCACTGTAGAAATTTTCTGTCCTGGTTTGAGGGATGCTATTGTCTGTCAGTTTCAAAAAATAAGGACAACAAACTATTATTCACTGAAAAAACATAACAACAGAAATTTCTACTCTCACTATGGCCTCATGTTCCTAACATCAAACTGTTCATATTATGTCTGGATAGCCTTAGCAGAATTCTTCAGACATCACAGGAAACCAGAATTTGTGCCTGTCTCCGTTTGGGACCCAACTGATGGGTTTTAGCAACCAAGTATACAGGTAAAGCATGCCTTAGAGAGGATTGTCCCAAGTTTTCTTCTATTTCCTTAGCATCTCAATGGCACACTGATTTTTTTTTTTTAAAAATACTGTTTTCAAAGCATTTTTTGTAATTGTTTACAAAGTCAATAGCAAAACCATGGTTCATGAGGGTCACTGGCAGACAAGGGCTTTTCATTTGAGATATCTTCCTCCTGATGACAGAAGCATCCGTTTTAGAAAATTAGTTTCAAAAGTCTGATAAAATTCAAGTAGCCACAAATCAGTGACTTGTTTAGTACACACTGGACCATTCATTTCTTTTTTTCAAGCTGTGACATTTTCTGAAGGGTTCTGGTAACAGATGCCCAACTGATGATTCAATGTGGTAGCAACTATCAAAACATGCTTTTGCACAGATAGGGTTAATTTTTCACTGGTAACATATACATCTGGGAAGGCTGCCCAAAGAGCAAGTTTTCCTCCTATGCAACGGATTTCCCATTTGGTGCTTTTCCTATTAACACAAAGAGTAAACTGGAAATTTTGGTTCCAAGTTGGTTGCTTTTTCATACATCATGATCGCAGTGTTGAACTACACAAGGAATTCTACAAGGAAGCGGGCTTTCAAGAGCAGTCACACTGCACTGGAAGCAATAGTTTATTTCTTGACAGCAAGTATATGTGCCTAAGATGTTTTTTTAAAAATTCTCAGACACCCCAAACTCCAGCATTTGCAGGACAAATTCTGATCACTGGTACTGCTAAAACTACTGTAGGTTAACAAGAACATAGGAAACTATTCTGAGCAGAATCAAAATATACTAATCAAGTACTCAGGCAGAACAGTACCTACTCAATACTTTGTACTTGAAACTGCAAGTATTATTAAAAACCCATGGTCTTCTTTCATACACCTTATTAAGCTATTTTGGCAATATTCCATAGCTCATTTACTGGATCGGACAATTCAACAATTTATTTACTTCACAATGTTGCTTCATATAGTAAGACACAATTTATAATTACATCCTGAGACTGTATGATGGACTATAGTGATGCAGATGTATACAAAGTGAAGCAAAATCTGCAATGAACTCTTTCTCATCAGAAGCAGCAGCAAAAGAGAAAAAAAACTGGAACATTGTGTAAGTTTTAAGAAAGGAATCAGCCAGGAAAGGACCAATTGTGCTTAATTCTAATGGGACAAAAGATTCTGTGGCATTTCTAGAATGAAGCAGTTGGTGAAACATCAGAAGTTACTAGCCTGGAAAAATGTCATTTAAATTAAGGGAATATGCTCTGTGCATTTTAATTCTAACCTTTAAAAAAGTACAGCTCTTCGAAAGGTTAAAATACTACATCAAATCATAAGGGGATATAAAAATAAAAAGTATGAAAGGCCATCAAAAACTGCTGTGTTAGTAAGTTTCCAGCAAAATAATTTTGGGGAGGAAATCTATGGAACCCTCTTGGAAAAAAAAATACTCCTTTGCAGGAAACCTACAATTAGATATCACAAGTAGTAACTAGTCGAATATGTTTTAGAGTGTGTGATTTTAAATGTATGAACTGTTTATTAAGAATAAACTACCATTGCAGGTATAATCTTTTTAAAATCTATGTTTATACAAGCATTTCAGAATCCATTATCTAGCAGGGCACTAAAAACATGTTTATTGACAGTTACTTCAAAGAAAAACATGAACATCTCATGCTTTATTATAAAAGTGAGCAGTGACAGATTAATAGAATTTAAGTTATGATTAAAGGAAAAATAGAAGAAATATTCCTGCAGAGAGCCTCTTGTAAAATTGAGAGACTTGGGAATACCATGGATTTATGAACTAGGATGGCCTCCTATAATCACCATTTCATATATATGCAGGGCTTGAAAAAATTTAGAATGTCTCACCAGTTAGTCAAAAATTTCACCAGTCAGCATGACCGGACTATAGCCCTGCAATTTATTGGGACTGAGAATCACTGATTTATACCCTCAGATTTGGGTTGCTTTATTACTGTACCTGCATGCCTGTGGGGTCATGAAGTTTGTATTTTCAATGCCTTTCTTTTGGATGTCTCCAGCAAAAATAAAGCTGAAAGCAAAAGCGCGTGGCCTCTTAATAAGCCACGGTTCCCTCCCACCCCAGGATGTATCCTCGTTCGGTTGAAATTGGGAGCAGGGAATCTCCATATTCTCCAGAATGGGACTACTCTACATTCTCCTGCAGAACTATATCTATGTGTGCCGCTCGAACTCTCTTCTCATGAGATGATAGTTTTCTTTTTGCAATGGGAGGGGGAGGGGAGGACTGCAGGCTGAGAGAGAGAGAGAGAGAGAGAGAGAGAGAGAGAGGCAAAGGAGAAGGCGGCAGGCAGGCAGGGAGCTGTGATTCGTCGAACAGCATTTTTCACTTGTCACAGACGAGTGGACGAGTGCATTTTTCAAGCCCTGTATATATGGTATATAAAAAACTTTTGGGGGTAGTTATCTACTTAAAAACAGGCTTTGGCTCTGGAATTTCTCTCACAGAGGACTTGCGTATTAAACAATTAAAATAACAGAAACAGATTGCAGAATTGGAAAGATCATCTTGTCCAACTTCCTGCCACCCCAGGAATCTACAGCCGAAGCATGCCTGACAGATGAGCATCCATCTATTTCAAAACCTCAGTCAAAAGTGAGTTCACTTCTTTCAGCATCATGTTGTCAAACGAAAATGAAAGTAGCAGACCACTCATATATTACTGAAGTTTCAAGTACATGAACATCTGTTTGGTAGAGGAAGGAAATGGCATATGAGTCCAAGCACAGACTTCAAGGTCTCTGCTGAAGAACACGGGATATTATAAGGTAGGAGGAGCTGCATCATCACGTACCATCACTTTCTCCAGTGAAAAATTCAATGTTCTTGAAATTCTTCTCTGGGAGCAGAAGTGGAATAGCTTGATAGTTCTATTCCACCTGGCTCACACATGAAGCTCTGCCTATTTCCATCTGTGGCGGATTGCCCAGCTGCATCCCTATCTTGAAGTTGGGGCACTCACCACTCTGGTCCATGCACTTGTAATTTCGAGGTTAGACTACTGCAATGCACTCTATGTGGGGCTACCTTTGAGATTGATGTGGAAGCTTGAAATGGTGCAGAATGCGGTGGCCAAACTTCTCAGTGGGACGAGAAAATATCAGCGTATCTCCCCCACTCTGGCTGCCTTGCATTGGCTCCCTGTTCGTTTCCGCATTGATTTCGAAGTGTTAATGATGACATATAAAGCCCTAAATGGTTTAGGACCTCGATATCTAACGGAATGCCTCCTCCCACCTAGATCTACCCGAACCACTCGTTCTAGCCATGAAGGGCGGCTGAGGGGCCTGATGCCAAGGGAGGTCTGGAGAGAAAGAACAAAAAACTGGGCCTTCTAGGCAGTGGCCCTTCGCCTTTGGAACAGTCTGCCTCCAGAGATCTGCCTGGCTCCCTCCCTGGGTGTTTTTAAGAGCAAACCAAAGACCTCAGGCAGGCTTTCCCTGCTGTATTCATTTGAATTTTTTTCTTTTTGCCCATCTTGAACTATATTACTATTGTTGTTTTTTATTTTATTATATTATTTTATTCCATTTTTTATTGTTAGCTGCCCAGAGTAGACTTCGGTCTATAAATTTAATACATAAATAAATATTAAGCTGCTACAGAAAGAGAAGAGATATGTACTTTAACAGTGGAATGTAATCCACACTAGGATTACTGCTTAACTCTGTCTTCCAGATCTCAATATCTGTACTGAAAACATCAATACAGTTTCCTTCTGAAGTCAAAAGAACAGAGAAATCTTAGCTAAATCCAGATCTGTCCTGTAAGTTTGAAACAATAATGCCTTCTTGATACAAATATTTAAGGTCAGATTAATACTAAAAAGTCCTAAATTTTAGAGCCTGCAACCTCAGACTCAGAAAACGTTCAATATATCATGAAAAGTGTGCTGTGTAAGGAGAAATAGATGTATACAGAAGTTCTGGAATGAGGAAAACACTGCTGATTCTTTTATTTAGGGACAACATAAGCTGTAAATGTGTCAGAAGTAAAATTGCAATAAACAGTTTTTTTTTAAAAAAATCCTAGTTGAAGATACCTGTCTTTCCAAGTCTTGTCCAGCAATACCAGCTTCAACATGAGCAGTTAGATTTTTCTCATCTATCCAGTGAATCCTATTCTATTACAAAAGAACAAAATACTCATGAAATAAGCTGGTCTCTAATTCCTTAGGAAAACAGAAACATCTAAGCAATGCAGAAAGCAGAGCAGGGGAGATACAAATAAGGAAAACGAAGAAGATTTTAACGCATATGATCTGTTCGCACAAAATTATAAGATAGCAATATAACATTATATTATTTTCTTATTCTTGATCAATCCTGCTAGCTTTGCTTCTTAAAAAAAGAAATTACACATCTTTGCAATGTTTAAATATTTACAATTCAACTTCCTACTTTTTTTTATTTTTACTGTGTGTGTGTGTGTGTGTGTGTGTGTGTGTGTGTGTGTGTGTGTGTGTACACACACACATACATATACATCAAACTAATGTGAGTGCTGCACTATGGACTGAAATAATGTAGGATCCCAAGGTGAATTCTAGATGCAAATTGAAAATAATTTATAGATGTTTAAGAGAAAGGGTATCTAATAAGACTCACTTTCAGTAACGTGATATGCAAGACAGAAAACAGTATATTGCACTGGATAAGCAACATAATTCATTGAAATCAAGAGTAATTTTACATTTCTTGATTTTATACTAGGTAGAGTACCATTAGATTTTATGTTGCGCCACTCAACGTATATATTTACTGCAGCTAGGTTACTCTGGGCCCAAAAATGGAAGAATGGAGAAACACCAATGATGGATGAGCTATTAAAGAAGCTACTGGATATTGCAGAACTAGATATGCTTTCAGAGGCACCACGGGATCAACCAAGACACTTTGTAAAGGAAAGCTGGAAGCTGATATATAACTGGGCCCAGGAAAAGTCAGGAATTTAGGGGAAGAAACAGTTTAGGGTGAATCAGTGCACACCAAAATCCTTTGATGATATTCAGATGACCAGACAATGGCGAAATCTCTGATCTATAGGTATAGTATGGATGCTTAGTTTTGATGTTTTGTTGTTATTATTGTCAGATTTTAGTTTTTTGTTTGGTATGTCGATATGTATGAATAAAAAATAATAATAAAAAAGATTTTATGTTGTGTTACTCAAAACTGCACAATTAAAAGTTATTAAAAACCATCAAATGTCATGCTCTCAGATTTGAAATACTTCACACAAATCAGTTATTAATTAAGGTGACATGATTTACACAGTCAGTTCCCATCAAACAGGTGAGTGTGGTAGAGTCGTTAAAGTGCTGGGCATGGGATGGGATGGCTCAGATTTTTTTATTCAGTTATCCTACAAATGTCTGCATAATGATTTAGATAGAAATAAAAGATTTAGGACATTACTGCAGATGGCTATACAGTGGGGTCTCTACTTAAGAACTTAATCCGTATTGGAAGGTGGTTCTCAAGTTGAAAAGTTCTTATGTTGAATCTGCATTTCCCATAGGAATGCATTGAAAACCATTTAATCCGTATCTGCTCTTTTCCGTCCATAGAAACCACAGTGGAACCTCTACTTAAGAACTTAATCCGTTTTGGAATGGTGTTCTTAAGTTGAAACGTTCTTAAGTTGAAGCAAAATTTCCCATTGGAATGGACTGAAAACCAATTAATCCATTCTGGCGGGGTTTTTTTTGTTAAGTAGAGGTGCGTTCGTACATTGAAGCATTAGTTCCCATAGGAACTAATGCAAAGCTGGTTAATACGTACTCTACCATTAGGGGGAGAAATTTTTTTTAACCTAAGATGGCCTTAAAAAAAGAGCAGGAAAGGTTTTTTTTTCCTGTTCTTATCTTGGATTTCTGTTCTCAAGTAGAAGCAAAATTTAGCAAATGGAGCTGTTCTTAAGTTGGATTGTTCTTAAGTAGAGACATTCTTAAGTAGAGACCCCACTGTAGTCAGCTTGCCATGACCCTTGTTATCAGGTAAGGCTGATCTGGAAAACTTCCAGGGGATGGCAGAACTGCACCAGTATCCCACACCTAGACCCAAGATGGCAAAGCCGTCCTGCATGTGCCACTTTCAGCCAATCATAACCCAAAAAGATTCTAGGTTGTCTCACCGGTCAATTCCCACCACCTTTGGGGAAGCAAGAAGTGGCACTGGGTTATTTGTGGTTTGGAAGAAAGCCTCTCCTTCTCACTCAAAGCAGATGAATTAAAATGATAGCTTCTGGGCAACTTTTAGGGCAATTTTTAATGGCAACTATTTTTTACGGTGAGAAAGTTGGGGAAATCAGAAGAGGTAAATGGGATACTTTTGCCTTCTCCTAAGAAAAATGATGCCTGCTTAAGAGGCATTTTGAAATCTTTCTATTAAAGTATTTTGACTATTTGATATTCAACGCGGTTTTCTTAAAAATGTTTATCTACATACCATCTGTGAAGTGTCCAATGAAACAATGGTTCTTTTCTCATCCTCAGGACACTCCAGAGCACTAGAAACACTTGTTCCTCCTGCAGATATGGGAAAGACATCCATCTTTTAAATTCATTTCCCTTAATGTTAGTTCTCCACACTTAACCATAAGGGACTTATAAAAAGCATGCGGGCACACATGCATACATGTACAGTTAATAAGAATACTTCAATAAAAACACCTGAGGGGACCTTAGTAATCAGAATGTAGCATGCCCAAGGAGTCTGCCGTTTAAAGTAAACAATCTCATTAAGGTACACTCAAGCCATTAGCTATGCCTCAAGTAGCTCTTGGATCCTGGCCATTAAAGACAAGGTAACAATAATTCTTTTAAAGTTGTTAAATAGCTGTATTACTTACCACCATATGGTATAATACAAACATTATGCTTGCAGGCTATTTCCACAATTTTAACTACATCATCATGACATTCTACAAAGAAATACAAAGCAACAATTAAAATATAGTTCAAGGAATACATTACCACAGAATCAGCTAATAAGTCAATGTAATCAAGTAAGTTCAAATAGGTTAAGAATTAAAGTATATTTTTTCAAAGACTTGACACATGACATATCTTTACAATAAAGTCAGAATCAATTGTATCAAAGTAAACAAAAAGAATCCAGTCATCTTTTTGATAGCTTTTACTTCAGGATGAAAAAGAACCCCAAGGCAGAAGGCAGACTAGGTATGGGACAATGCACTACATTGTTTTGCAAAACTAGACATAAGCTCAGGTTATCACTTTAGTTTTAAAAATTCATGTGCCACTTTCCTTGAAAATTAAATTAAAATGGCATGCACAAGACAAGTAAATGAAAATATAAAGCTACAAAAAGCAACATAACTCGCAACAAAATCACAATTCAAGTCACACTGAATTCCTGCTTAGATGGAAACACAAGAGCAAAAATCCTTTCCCCTCCCTGTGTGCTAGTTGCACACATTCTTGCCTTTTCACACAAAATGTTCACAATCCCTTTCTGCATGTGTAAATACCACCATTTATAATGAATAAGGTGATCTCGCCTTTGAATAGCTGGAGTAAATATGAAATAATCTATCCTCACAACAATTGTGCTCTGTGACAGCAAACAGGACTTTGGCTAGTAAAACTAAAGCAAAGCAACAGGAAAGGTAAATGAACATACTGTATTAGTCAAAAGCCTTTCTACAGAACCAGCTTTAAAGCACTGATGACTGACTTCCCTAAGAGGTTTATTCAGTGAGACTTGCAGCGCAATTGAAAAGCCCCTGCTTCTAGTGGAGAGCTACTTAACCTTCAGTAAGAAAACCCAGAGTCCCTCCTCAGGTGATGAAATGAGTGCACAATACAGAGTTATAAGGAGTTATACAATACAGAGAAAAATAGGTTCTTAGTATTCTCAAGTTCTAAGCCTCATCAGGCTTCAAAAAGATGAGAACCACATCCCTGTACTGAATCCAGCAATGAACAGGTGACTAGTGTATATCACAAAAGGTTTGCAGTAATATGTTCCAACTGATTAATGGCTACTAACAATATGATGTTAGCAGTCTTCACTAGTTGACGTTTCTGAACATTTCCAGGGGCTACTCCACGTTCAGCTGTGCAAAAGTAGCCAAATCTGATGGTTACCCAAACAAAGGACCCTAGCCAGGCCCAAGTTCCATTTTTAGGCAAAGCTGGTGGAATCATTAGTGCTTGAAGTAATTTCTAATACCTAATGTTAAACAGCCAAAAATAGCTACATCCTGAGCCAAATATATCCCAGTTCTTGTTTACAACTTTCTCTTTGCATCTTGATTTGTTATCTAGCAAAAATATATTTTGTTAGATAGCAAATAAAAATAGGAAAAAAAAACTACCATCAAAGTCATGGTAAACCTGAAAGAGGGCCATTTCTGGGTTTGGAAACAGTTCTCAATTCCTAAATCCTGTTAAAATAAAGTTGGGACAACAACTCATATTTCTAGAGGCTATTTAGACAAAAACATTGCTGTAATCAAATAACTAGCTATATTAAAGATCTGAAATAAAACTGGATTTTGAGCTTAGCTGTATGGAACACCAGAATTATATTCACCCCATCAAAGGACAGAGAGAATCCAAATTCCAATCCTGTTTCTTTCACTCTTTTTAACATCTGGGGGCAGTGATCCAGAGATTCAGAGTGCACTGCCAGCAGTATGCTGATGACATGCAACTTCCAAACTGCTCTTGTGGACCAAACGCTAGAGAAAAGTCTGCATTTTGCAACATCTACTATCAGCTCCATTTTCCCCAGAACTTTTGATTTTATTGCATTGGACCTTAAGGTGAAACAAGAATGAGGAGAATATTCTGAAGAGCCTACCTGGCCAAACAACTACATCAGGAACTCTTTTAAACATTCCTTCCCTGAGCAAAAATATTTCATGTAGGCAATGACCTGGAATACAAGGAGAGAAAAAAGTCTAGAAAATGTGTATATTAAAAAGAAAATCAACTTGTGCTCTTGTTTTTATGGATTTCAGCTTACCATGAGCTCTGAATACCCTAGTTTCAGGTTCTTGGGAATATGTTATTTTAGCAACTTGGAGATCTTGCAGAAATTCTTCACTTGCAATGGAGGGAGGTACATCACTAACATTTAAGGATGCCTTCAGTGTAAAAACAAACAAACCAACATGTACAATGTTTAGTGTACTAGTAAAAAGAGTAAGCTCCTCACAGACACAAAGCACTCACAAACAATCCCTTCCTCATGCCCCTCTCTCTCATCCTTGTCATGTCCCCCATTTTGACTGTGCCAGCATTTCATACTGAAAAAAACAAAGTTGGGAGGGACTAGGAGTGCACAGACCATTATTGGGCACATGGTTTTCCTCCATGTGATGCTTCTCTTCCATCCATCAATTATTTGGAGCACTGGCCATAAAATATTGCTGTTACTAGTATTAATTGAAGAGGGGAATGTATCTTGAATGTAACATAAAGGCCCTAAGAACTGAAGATTTTAATTAATGCTTACTTCTATTTATTCAACCCATTTCCTCTTAACTTTAGCAGAACACATTTTTATGAGAATGAGCTTGTTCCCATAGGCTCCATTATGCTCTTCTCCTTGGAGAACAATCCAGGGTTCTTGGATGATGCTTTTTAAAATACTCTGACAGCAATAATTCTTAGTACGTTTTATTATAATAACACTGTGCAATATCTGGCAAAGCCATTCACTGTAATAAATTCTTATATGAGTAAATGGGTACAAATTATGACTTAGCAGCCACTAAGCGTTCATACCGATTTCATTTTCCTAAATGCAAGCCACACTTTTTCCTGGATTGAACACACACTTTAGTTTGATTCTTGGAAAGCAATCTCTGGGAAATCAAGAGATAAGTATGCTGACTATTGTAATATCTAATTTAAATTATTAAAGTTGTTTCTCACTGGGCACAGTATCACCTTTTTTGAACCTCAACGAGTCTCTTTTAAGCATAGAAACCTTATCTTTTTGTGTTTTGTAGCTTGTTATAGCTGCAGTCTGTAAAGCTTCTAGAAGCCTATGAGCAAATGAAAAAATAAGGTACGGTCAATAGATTTAGTAGAAAAATTGACAACTCAAGTGAAAATCCTCCATGGGCCTCACAAATAATGATTTTTTTTTTTTTTTTTGCAATATGAATACCGATACGTCAATGTTTCAGTTAAATAAATAATAAATAAAACCATGTTGAATTATGTGTGTTGTAACTAAGCTTGTTCTTTAGTGTCCTTATTCTATAGGTACAATCTGTCACTTTTGTTAGTTGGTCCTGAAGCTGTGGGCTATCACTGATCCTTTAACTCATGCAGGCTATCTTTCTTTCCAGACGATGTGAGAAAACAGTCCTTTGGCACTTATAGTTAGTAACTAAGAAATTATTCTGTGCCTTTCAACTCCAAAAGAAAATTACCAAAATAGAGGTCATTACTTATTTTAACATCCCAAGAACATCCAAAAGCACACTAGTTGGAGCCTTATCATAATATGAAAGTATGCCTCAGCACTTATAGTGAAATCTGACTCAGAATAGCACTGATTCAGAACTCTAAAGTGTAGATAACTAATTGAAAATATTATCAAACATTAAGAGAGATTGCTGGGTGTACCGTGAAGTGCAAAAGGTTCCTTGACAGAGCAAGGAATTAATATCTGTATCAAATCTTTCAAATTACATTCTAATATTAGTGTGCAATTACAGACTGAAACTGACCAGTCTATTCTAAAATACATAGGACAAAACAATATTAAAACTACTAGTTCTTTCAGTATTTTGAAAGCAGTACTTCTGCAACTTTCCTGATTCCATTTTTTCTCCTCAGCTACTGCACTGAAATGTATCAAATATAAAATACAGAAAACTAGCAGAATTACAGTTCCTCAGGGGAGATTAACATCAGCATATTCAGACAATTGCTGCTCTGGGCATACTGCCTAAAATGGAAGGGTGCATGCTGAGACCAACAATGCATGCAGGCACTCCAAAGGCAGTTTCTCTTCAGATAAGATCACTTCGCTCCCTCCTTCCCAAGGCATGCTGAGATTAGAGATCATATCCTATCCAATATAGAGATGCTGTGAGATTATACCTTCCCCCCTTCATAGTAAGTACTCTGCAGTAATTAAATAAACAATTTGCCATAGAATAGTCACACTTCTCTCAAGTCCTATTTATGTGTTATGGCTGTTCAAAGCCATCGAGCCAAATCCTGCTAAATGCCTGAATGAAACAAAAGCATCACAGTCACTGCATATTTGAGTTGGCACGTTAAATAACTGGGTTCAAATAGTCTAGGAACTCAGCAATACCGTTTTACATGTTGCCTCTTTAAATGAATTATGCTGCTACCTGAGAAAGGCTGAAATCCTGTTGCTTTGCAAATGAAAATTTGTAACTTCCAGTCCATTCCTAGCCAGCAAATAGAGTCCCCACTGTGATTCTTGAAGGGCATGCAGGCATGTTGTCTAGCTGCATGGACAAGAAAGAACTCTGAAAAATCACAGCAGGGACTTTTTATTTGCCAGTTAGAAACAGACTGAAAGCTATGAATTTTCTTAGGCTAAGCAAACAGGATTTCAGCCAAAGTCAGCTTTGTCTTCAGCCCCCTGGATTAGACCTGGGCAAAGTGCGGCCCTCCAGATATTCCTGAACTGCAAATCCCAACATTCCTCACTGTGTGGGCTAGGCCCAAATCTCCTCACTATTGGCTGTGTGGGCTAGGAATTATGGGAGTTGCAGTTCAGCAACATCTGGAGGGCTGCATTTTGCCCACCCCTGCCCTGGATAATCTGTGTAGACATTTGCACATTGCTTAAGTGTAATAAATGCATACCCAACATACTATAGAAGTGGACTATCATTTTTAGCTATGGTACTCTCTAAGGTCCTTGGAAGAAGGCATCTTGCAAATATAAAAGCATATGAGTCCATCAGCTCCATTTTGAGCACAATTGGAGATTGAAATGCTCGCCTACCAAAGCAGATTAGAGAATACAAAGAAGATACAAATTAAGAAGAGGTATTCAAATCCCTTTTGTGTGCTGTGATATTCATTTCTGCATATTATCTTATACCAGTGGTTCTTAACCTTTTTGAAAGAAACGCCCCCTTGAGCCATTGAGGAAGTTATCATCGCCCCCTCCCTGAGGTGATGATATCTTCCCCACCTCCCTACCTACCTAGTCTCCCTCCCCACCCGGGTGCGAGGCAGCACTTCACAGGGCGAGAATGAAGACCCAAGAGACCCTTTCCTTCCACCCGATCCACACTCAGTGCTGCCCTGAAGGAAAAAGGCGAGACGTGGCAGGTAGAAAGAGCTGGATCATCTGGCAGCAGCAGCACCACTGGATCTACTGCCAGCACTGCAGCTGCAGTCGCCTTCAGAGGTTTGGCTCACTCCAGCGCCCCCCTACCGCCCCCTTCTGTTCTTTCGCCCCCACACCGCCCCTTTTCATTCTACCGCCCCCCTGAAAAATGAAATCGCTCCCTGGGGGGGCATTATTGCCCACGTTAAGAACCACTGTCTTATACTGTTATCTTATACTGTTATTGTTTTATGAACTTATTGTTAGCTGCCCAGAGTAGACTTTGGTCTAGATGAGCGGGATATAAATTGAATGAATGAATGAATGATTATTAGCCAAAATAACTGACTCCTGAAGTTTAGAAGGCAGTTCATGCACACTCAAATCAAAATTAAAACATGGGTTACTAACCTGTAGTCTGACATACGCAGTACAGGGCACAAATATTTGTGACACGCCTAGATGGGAAGGCCTGGCCACATCTGGCTATATCATAGAAGAGTGAGACACAAAGTGGAACCCCCCCCAAAAAAGATGTTGTTGAACTAAAACTCCCATAAACCCTCCGTGTTTATTGTGCTAATTGAGACTGAGAATAATTAACCGGAGGTTTGTTTGTTTTTTTAACTGGGATGGCTAGAGCTGTCCATCCTTAGTATAGTGAGCATATGTAGACTTCTCTATCTCCCCTACACTGCTGGGAATCTTGAGAGCTAGAAACCAAAGAGTCTCACAAGGAGACTGCAGACAATTGGAAGAGTGCACTAGTATGGTACATTCTTTTTGGACATGAGTTGTGGTGCACTGGAAAAAGAGGCTTCTCACCATTGGTTAAGAACACAATGTTACCGCTTCACAGCAGCTAACTGACTTGGACTTGTGTAATTAGCAAGTCTCTATTAGAATATCATTCATCTGACCACCCATATTTGGTCTCTCTATTGGCCAAGTATTTGGGGATTGAGAGGAACTAATTAAGTTAATGAATAACCACCATAACAAGTATGATTTTATTGGCTAAAATCCTGTTCCACACTTAAGCAAACAGCACAACTTTTGGAAACAAATGGCCACAAATTAAGAAATCTCTATAGAAATAGTATGTTACATACAGTGATGCCCCACCTGACGACGATAATCTGTTCCAGGAAAATCGCTGTTAAGCGAAATTGTCATCAAGCGGGGAAAAAATCTCCATTGGAATGCATTGAAAACCGGTCAATGCGTTCCAATAGGGGAAATACCTCATCATCCAGCGAAGATTGCCCATAGAGAACCACCAATCAGCTGTTCTAATTTTCTGTAATGCGAAGCTTCCATCCAGACAGCAGCCATTTTGAAAAGGGAGGGAAGCCATTTTGCGGAGGGAAGCCATTTTGTGGAGCCGGAAAAAAACATCATTTTGTGAACGAACAGTTCGCGAAGCAGGGTCCTAATCAACGTAATGTGAAAAAAACCCATTGGAACCATTGTTTTGCGATCGCAATAGCAATTGCAAAAACGTCATTGTCAAGCGATTTCGACGTCATGCAGGGTAAGCGTCTAGTGGGACACCACTCTACTGAGTAACGCAACTTGATGTACAACAAGTAATGTCTGTGGAGATTTCTTAACTTACAGCAATTCACCTTTAAAAGTTACACTGCTTGTGCAACAAAATTTTAGCCATCATTTTCATCATCACTAATTCTCTTCTATGTATGGAGCACTAAACACATGTCAGAAAAAAATAATAAAAAATTAATCTAAAACACTATCACAATTTTAAAAAATCAATAAATGCATAATAAAATAACACAGAAGCTGAGCTAAATATTAAGATCTTATAAAAATGACTCCAATTTGTGCATAAAAAGCACAGTCATGACATTACAAGGGGCTATAAGAAACCAGCACACTTACATCAAACTGAAAGAAGTACACCACTTTCAAATGCAAATTCTTGAACAATTCAAGAAGCACACTCTTAGCCCGGCTGTGAACAACCTCTCTACCTGAGATACTGACAGTCACTGTTAGTACACCATGGATGGGCAAAATGTGGTCCTTCAGGTGTTCTAGAATTTTAACTCCCAGCATTCCTCACCATTGGCTGTGCAGCCTAGAGCTGCTGGGAGCTGTAGTCAACAACATCTGGAAGACTGCACTTTTGCCGCTCCCAATAGACCAGAGAGAGAACTAAAGCAGCTTTCAGTTCTATTGAGTCACCATCAATGAAACTGCAGAAGTTAAACACAAGTTAAATATACATATTATTTACTTACTTTAGAGATACTTTTATGCTCCAGATTTCCGCCAACATTTTTCTCTAGCCATTCTTTCAAAAGAGGGAACACAACTCCACCTAGCCGGTACCTGAACCCAAAAGCATTTTAATCATTTCCTAGTAATCTGAAACTGGTGAAAACCTGGTGTTATTTTAGTTATGAAGACATAAACACAGGCTGATGATGCATCATTTTTGTATTTAAGGGGGCAGAAGATCCAGCGAGTTACATATACCACTCACTAGTCCCTGATAAGCTGTCAAGTCTTTAGGTTAAGAATTCTGAAATACAAATAACGTAAGCTTTGCAGAAGAAATGGCATCTTAATTTCCGCAGAGAGAAGTCTTGTTCAGTAATAATGCATATTTTTGTTAATATCAAAAACAGGAAAAACAAGTCTCACATTTTTGACTTTCAGGAAGGATATGGACAATGTTCTTTACAATTTTTAAGAAACCATAGCAGCTGTAATACATACTCTCTGACAAGATTGCAGATAATTAAAATGTGAAGCAAAAAGGTTTTTGCAATGCAGAAAATCAGTGACGTTTCATAAAGTTCTTCACCTGCACCTGTGCTACTTAAGATGTTCATAAATAATTTGATGTAACTGTGATGTAGCAAGTTTTCCCAGCAATTACCAGTGGCTTAGATCATTTTAACAGGTGAGGTCAATTCAAAGAGGAAAGCTATCTGAACTCATTCCAGTTCAACAACCAACAGACCCTGCACTACAGGAGAGTTGGACAATGGGATCTTTAATCCTCTCCATCTCTTACAAATCCAACAGAGAGGCTTCTACAGAGCTCACTCCTTATGTACCCAGCTGATCTCTCATATCTGACTGTGCATGGTGACTAACAGTTGAAGTTTTCAATAAAGTGAGAACAGTAACAGCACTGTTACTGCTGATCACATAGGGTTTCAGAGAGCAGAATTAGGTGGTATATTAAGGGGCACGTCAAACCTTTTGTTACTTTTCAGCATATAGACGGATTTTTAAAAGCATCCTTTGCCTTTGCCTTAATTCAAGCTAGAGAAAGTGATGTGCTTAAGGGAGGGGGGATTTCCATGGGACTGAGGTTACTGGAAGATCAGAACAATTTCCATCTGTCAATTGTTTATCTCTGAATCTGTAGGATAATTCAAGCCCCAAAATATTACAAGAAATTATCTTACCTTGCTCCCTACATGCTATGAATAAGTAGGGTATGAATGCAAGTTATTATTCTATCACTCACAAGCTATTATAATTTAATAATATGAAAACTTTGAAAACTTCCAGTAAATTTAAATAAATGCATACATACAAACTTCATAACATTCAGAACTGTTATCTATTCTTAATGGACAGAATCCAAGTGAATAGTTATGCCTTACTTATGGCATAACTCAGAGGAGCGAATAGCCTCTAATTAACAAGTCTCCAATCAAAGTTCTAGTAGTGTACTAGTTGAGTGACTCGGTAAACAACTAAGAATTCAACCAAGGGCTCATTAATTAGGGGTACTCACCACACCAATTTATGCTAATACACTCATGCAACTGTAAATATTCATCTGGACTCTGTCTAACATTTATCATTCCTCCAATACTTTTTTGGGGGTAGAGTGTCTGATTTACATTTCTGAAAGAAAAGTATAAGCATCTCAGTCTTCACAGTTGTTACCTTTTTCCAGTGAATTCTGCTTGCCCCTTCTTATTGAATATGAATCTTGAGTCATTGTATCCCCATCCATTCCATTTTAAAACTTCTTGCCTTAAAAGAAAAAAACAACACGATTTTTTAAAAAATGACCTCTTGGTTCATTCTGATCAATTTGTTTTGTAAATTAATTTCTGATGTACTGTTTATTCCGATAAGCATACTAAATTTACACGAATTTGTAAATATTTAGCATGTTGAAAACACTGAACATTTATGATACCAACAGTTAATCACTGATGGGTACTTCATATTTGTACCTTGAGGATAGACAAATACGAGCTGCGGCACCACAGGTGCAGTAGGGGCCCAGTTCCCTCCCCCAGAACCAGCCAGGGCATTCATCAGACTCGGCATAGCACTGGGGTCCTTTGGAAGCAGCACGCGCCGATCCTGGCAGGAGCCTGGCCAGCCCTTCTCCGCCTCCCTGCACAGCCAACCACTTTGGGGTGGAGGTGGGATGAGGAATCTCCCTGCTCAGTCGATGAGTGGTCAGCTGCATGGGAAGGTGGGGAATAAGCAGCTGGGCTCCTGCCACCGCCAAAGGACCCCAGCACTGCACAGAGCCTGGTGAGTGGCCCGGCTGGTTCTGGGGGATGGAACTGGACTCAGGTTCCCAATCTTGGGTAGCTCAGGTGTCCTTCGACTGAACTCCCAGAAAATCTAGCCAGCACAGCTGGTGGTGTAGGCTTCTGGGAGTTGGAGTCCCCAAGGTGGGGACCACTGAAGTAATACACACATCACTGTGTTCTGTTAGTCTGCTCCGATAATTTTTATTACTATTACATTATTTTTTAAAGTACTGTAGAAACATCTTGACAGATTTTCTTATCTACATCAGTGGTTCTTAACCTTTGTTACTCGGATGCTTTTGAACTGCAACTCCCAGAAACCCCAGTCAGGACAGCTGGTGGTGAAGGCTTCTGGGAGTTGCAGTCCAAAACTCCTGAGTAACCCAAGGTTAAGAACCAGTGATCTACATTACCTATGTACAACTAGCTCCTCCAGCATAGCACATTTGATCCAACTCTTTAGACACCAATATATTGCTGAAAGGTTTGCAGTGCACTTTTTTGAACCCACAGTTTAGAACAGTTAAACTGCTAATTATTGTATAGATATAAAGAGCCCCAAGTTTAAACTTTCCAAAAAATCTTAAGGTGCTTGCAACCAATCCTAGAACACAGACCACTGTCAGGAGACAGTTTGCATTTGCTTCACTGGAAGACCAAATTTAACCTGTTACGTGGAATAGCAGTTAGCTATGCAGACTATAACGGAATCAAACATACAACACATTCGCCAGTATCACTTTTACACTTAAACACTGAATCTGATTCTAACGTCAAAATAAAGAATCTGATAATTTTCCTCTTCCCTCCTTGCCATTTTTCTTTTGTATTGTTACTGCTAAAACGTAAGCCGTTATGTAGGGCCTGTCTTTTTATTCCTATATAAGTTACTTTCAGAGTATTTTCAGCTACAAGTCTGGGACAAAAATCTTTCACCTACATAATTAGCATATCTTGATATTGCCAAAATATCATTTTCTTGCATATACATCAGTGAACTATGAATCATCAACTGATAACAAGGCATTCTGACTTGTTTTCACTCAGAGACATTCCATAACTGATTCAACCAAAATGTTAAGGGAATTCACAGAGGAACAGTGGAAAAGGAGTCTCGTTTGCCTTTGCAACTTCTCTCTGAAGTCAATATATGTTAATCCAGTGTTTCATGATTTTAGAAACCTTTGAGCTATATATGCCACTGAAACGTGCTGTCAGATAGAGCTTTCTTGAGTATGGATGTACATTCATAATATCTGACACTGCAAATGCAACTGTTTCACTGCTGGGAAGTAACAAATTATCTCTAACTACCGTATTTTTCCTTTTATAAGACGCCCTGATGTATAAGATGGGGTATCTTATAAGATGTATAACCCAAAATTAGAAAATTTTATCACTGCTTTCCCTGCCACTTCCTAAGCCTAGGGCTCAGCAAAAGGAGGGGGAAAGAAGGGATCAAAAGGCTGCAGGACCACTTTGACCGCTGGTTTCCCGGCCACTTGCTAAGCCCTGTAGGGATCATGCTTTTTCCCTCCTTTTGCTAAGCTCCGTCAGGCTTAGCAAGTGCAGGGGTAAAGCAGCGATCAAAGCATGGCAGGATCACTTTGATCCCTTCCCCCCTCCACTTGTTTTTGTTCTCTACTCAGCTTACTTCCATGTATAAGACGACCCTCAATTTTTGGTCTAAAAATTTTATACAAAAGTATCATCTTATAGACAGAAAAATACGGTAGATACTTTTGGGATTATGAGGTCATGACCAAGCGATACTTCAAGGGTAATGCTATGAGTAGCAGCAAAGTTGCTTTTTATTTATTTATTTATTTATTATTGCATAACAAGCAATATTTTCTAGTGATATTCAAATATTACCTTTAAATGGCATTTCATGGTCTTTAATTTTAATTTTAGAGGCATTGTGACAGGAACTTTTAAAACTGAATGTCATTCTCTTATCAATGTTAAAGAAAAGTGCTACTTTTATTTAGTCTTTTGCATTTTAAAGTATTTTGAAGATGTAGTAAGGTGCAGCATCAGGGTTGGCCCATTAGATGAAAATGAAGAGTACTTCCTGTACATTTCTGGTATATTGGTAAGGACAAATGTGTATGTGTGGAACTGACTTATAATGACCCTAATGGGGAATTCAACAGAAGGTATTTAAGGAGACGTTTTATCAGTGACATTCCACCCCCTGCCAAGTTTCCATGGCTGAGCAGAGATTCAAACCCAGGTCTCTTAGTTTGCTAGTTTGCTCTGATAATTTTCTGTTACTATTCCACGATTTTGATAGTAGAATTATACTGATAGATATCCTTATCTTCATTACCTATGTACAAACTGTCCTAGTTGTTGACTCGGCTTGGACTTCAATAATTTTCCAGAAACAGAGGTTAAGTTTGTAAGATGGAATTGTGCATGCAGAAAGCACTCTGTTCAAGCTCTTAGAAGAAATTTACAAGATGACAAATAACTAAAATAAATCAGATTTAGAATTTCACTTGGTTGTTTAATTTTTAGAAGAACAAAGTAAATCCTAAGCGCACAATGTCTCACATAGGTATGTGCCATTCTTTTGGGGGCAGAAGGGACTTCAAAACCCAGAATTCGTCATTCTGGGAAATCCATCTGCCAAGATCCACCACCTGCAAAGTCCTCCAGCCCAGACTTCCTCCAGGTGAGCACAATTTAGGGGTGGGTCTGGCAGGTGGAACTACAGAATGGAGAATTCTGGGTTTGGGGGTACAAAACAACAAACAGCAAATGATGTATTTCTAATGTGCCCGTTTAAAAATATTCTTATTTTTCTTATTGTGTAAAAGAGAAGCACTCAAATATGGGACTCAAAATACAAAACTGTCAGAACAGCATATTAAACAGGATAGTTAATAATTTTAAAAATAATTTCCTGTCTCAAATATGAAACATCAAATTTATGGTAGCAATTTCATGCATTTAAAGCTGATCATATTCCTTTACAAAACAATGTAAACATTCCTTCATTCCCAAGGAACTACTGAAGGCAGAAAGATCAAAATATTCTTCCAAAACTAATTATTCACAATCTAGTAATGGATGCTGCAATAATGAAAACAAAAGAAAGAGATGACCCACAAATAAGCATCCTCAAGATGGCAATATTTTCATGTATCTGAAAGAGAGCCAACTGCAGATCCATGATGGAAATAAAGCCAAGCCTCTCATTCTATACGTGTATTCATTCACAAAAGGGTGGAAAGGGATCAATTACAAAATGAACATCTTTCATTCTAATTGCTCCCTTCATTGATTCAATTTTTCAATTGTGTCACTGAATGAGACTGCCCTTGGTGTTTATATCTACGTCTGCCTTCACTGATTCATACAGATTTCTCTATAATCAGGGGTCTCTCTCCTTCTATGAATGTATTTCTTCCTGAATATCTAGAAGACAATAGGAAAACAAAATTCTTTTCTTAACATTTAGTTCCCACATCACGGGATCCATTATATGACAAAATTAACACCCCCATGGAATAAAATCCACGTCACCACAAATATATCTCTTATAGATATATACAGTAAAACTGTATCTCTTATAGTTTTACTCCCTATTATAGGAGCATGCATCAGCTCATATACCACATATTCAGTATTCCTGAACCCACCTTTATTTTTTATTTTGGCATGAATATCTCTGACACGCCCTCTGGAGAGGATTTTGCCATGTCCCCAATGTATATTATGCCCAGGCACACACTCATCATGGAGGAACAGTTAATTTTCCTCAGCTAATGTGGTCTATGCCATCTTTTACCAACCGTGCCCCTCTGAACTCTACACAGGACAATCTCTAAGCAAAAGAATCAACAGATAATAAATCAGACATCTGAAAACACAATGCACAGAAAATGGTCTTCAACCATTTCAATCTACCATAATGGGATAAGAAATATGCCATTCTTGAAAAGAAGCACAACAGAACATAAATAAAGAGGGGTAAAATCTGTACACACGATGGACACCCATATAAAAACACTGAATAGAAGTCAGGGTTTCCTAACTCTATACCAAATATAATACAGTACTTATGCCGTTGTCTACTGTTATTTTCCTTCACAACTACCAGACGCTGGGAGTACAAACCTCAAAAGTAAAAAATGCTACATAATAATCTTTATACTAACACACATTGTTCTTCTGCTGTCTCCTTTAGTCATGTTACTGCTCAGTTGGGTCTTTAGTAAAGGTAAAGGTTTCTCTTGACAAATGTCCAGTTGCGTCCAACTCTAGAGGGCAGTGCTCATCTCCGTTTCCAATCCATAGAGCCAGCGTTCGTCTGAAGACAGTTTCCATGGTCATGTGGCCAGCGCGACTAGACACGGAACACCGTTACCTTCCCACTGTTGTGGTACCTATTTATCTACTCACATTTGCATGCTTTCGAACTGCTAGGTTGGCAGGAGCTGGGACAAAGCGATGGCAGATTACTTTGTCACG